GTTTCGTAGGGAGCGGGGCGGGCGGGGGCGTCGCAGCCGGCCGCGCCGCTAGCGCGGGAGCGCGCCGCGGCGCGGCGCCCTGATTCTTTTGCTGACACGGCTGCTCACGGGGGGACATAACAGGGACGACTTGGGCCGGGCGCTCCGACGCCGCTGGTCGCGCCGCTGCGGCGCTGGTCGCGCGGGCGCTGCCCCACCGCCGCCGCCGCGCGGGCCCCCAGATGGGGCGATGGGCGCAGGTGTTAACTGGCAGCCGCCCACACGCGGCAGCAGCGGCGGCTGCGGCGCGTGCCCTTGCTCCGCAGCCGGCGCATGAGGGTGCGCACTTGTCCCACGCACTGCAAACGGCATTGTTGACCGCGGCGAAGACTGTAACAAGCACTGCAATCCTTTCGCACCCGCTGTTCATGCACCCGCTGATCATGCACCACTGGCCATGACATGCCCGAGCCCCCTGCGCAGCTGCCGGAGCTGCCTGCCTCTCCTCCGGTTCAGTCGCCCCCCGACACATCGCCACACGTTTCCAGCCCCTAGAAACCCCAGCCGCCCGCAGCTGGCACCCGCAGAGTGTCATCTGCAGTGTCAGCGCCCACGCATGAGCCGCGGCCCTGGTGGTGTTTCGGGCGACCCACGTTTACAATGGGTGCGCCACAGTACCCGACGTCCCAAGGTGGCCCAATATAGCTGCGTGTGCATCAACCCCGGGGGCAATGACACCAGGGTTTTGAGGGCAAGGGGTGGCAGCAGCCGCGGGTGATCATCAACACAGAGCAGTCACAAGAGAAATTCAAATAACTGTGCCGAGCAGCTCGGCGCCTGAGAAAGGGGACCCCGTCAGCGTGCTGTCGGGGGCCGGCCTTGCCTGGCAACTGCAGTGCCTGTTGAAAGGGTAGCGGGGCCGGCTGTTTGGAAGTGTGTTGCTGATTCCAAGGGGACCATATTTGTGGCGACTTGCAGATTTGAACAAAGGCATAATTGAATATGTTTTGGACCCTCGCGCAACAGGCAGCAGCCCGACAGAGCGGATGCTTGAAGCGATGCCACGGCGGCACAAGCGCCCGCGCGCTCCACACGATTGTCATCTTGGCAAGGTGCTAATGAGCCCGCCGCGGGCGTTGCAGACGCAGGCGGACGGCGGAAAGAGCAGAGGAAGCTACGTGTTCAGTACTTTAAAGGCTGAGTGTGCCGAGAAAGATGCAATGAGACGCGGCCGCAGGGGCTGGCCAGTTCAACAAGATGGGGCCAGCAGGCACCCGTGCCCGTCAAACGTTGGGGCGCACAACATGCCGCGGTTCGTGCCGAACCGCATTAATGTGTGTCGAGCCGGGGTGGCGGGCCTCGCTGCCAGTCTGATTGTTCCCCGGAGCGGTGCCGATGCCAAGGGGAGCGTCCCGCAGGTGAACAGCCCCCACACGCGCGAAGCGGCCCGATCAACCGAGTGCCGTCGGGTGGCCCAGCCCGGCAAAGGCCCTACGGGCCCCGGCCTCGCCGCGGCTGGTCGCGCCGCCGCTTGTCATGCGGGCTGCAGCAGCGCGGGGCCGCCGTGCAGCCGGAAGCACGCCTCCAGGAACGCCAGCAGCAGGGGCAGACGGGGCCACTGTGAGGGGGTGGGTGGGCCGGGCCAGTGGGGGAGAGAGGGGGTGGTGTGAGGCACGGCGAACGAGTGCGGCATAGGGGGCGGGGCGCCACAGGTGCAGAGAGCACTTTTGAAATTTTATGGTCGTAGCCGAATCAAAGCTGATGCACCGCAGGGCTGATTCAGGTCTCGTACCCGCGCGTCTGCCGGCCGCGCCACACGAGCGTCGGCCGCGGGCGGCGAGTGATTGCAGCCCTGTGCACGACGCGCCCCCCTGGGGCCCCGCGGCACTCACACACTGCACCAGAAACTCGGCTCCCTGCGAAGGCCTGCGGGCAGACGGCAGCGGCGTTCAGGGGTCATCACGGCGGAGCGGCAACGCGGCCCGGTAGCGCCGACATATAGGACAAGGGGTGCGGCGCGCGGGCCGCCGGCAACGGCAGCCGGCCGGGGCCCGCGCCTGCCGACCGGCTCCCAAGGACCGCGCCTTGAAACGAATTCCCACGATACGGCGCCGCCGCGCCCCGCGCGCTCCCGCACACGTGCTCAATCCCTAAAGCGCCCCAAAGCCCCGCGCAGCGCGCCAACCTCAGTATTCCCGAGATAATGGTGACAGTCACAGACACAGCCATGACCTGCCCGTGTGTGTGCGCAGGGGCGCATGCTTGGGCGTGCGCGGATGACACAGAGCAAAAATCGCGGCAGCGCATCCGATGCCAGAGGCCGGGCCGCGCATGCGCGCATCCAGGCGCTTGCGGGCCGCACGCCCCCGCCGCTGCCCCGCAGGGCCGCCGC